AGACGAACAGAAAGCATACCAAGAACACCAGCAGCAAGAGTGGCCTCCGTCTTGGCGAGGAGTTTAACGACAGATATTTCTTCAAGGGAAACATGAAATGGCGGGGCTTAGAGACATGCAGAGTGTCTTCCATCAAAGTTTGTGGCACCAAAAAGGAAAACGGTCGCGTTAGGTTTCTGCTCTCTGAACTCTGGCCATGTGGTACTAATTAGCCACCAGCGAGTGATGGGCAGAAGGGATAATCTCCTTCATGCTTCTGCCCCAGAGGGAGCACACAGCCAGGGTATAGAAGGCCCTGTTTTCCAAGGGGGGAAATCTATGGTTCCAAACCATGCCCGTGTCTATTATAAATGACTGAAATATTTGTTTCTCTTCTTTCACAACTCTGGCAGGAACCAGCAACAATACCCTGGAACAAAACTCCACAACAGATCCCCCCAGGAGGACTGGCCCAGAGCAGTAACTGGGGTTAATACTAAGGACTGATAGAGGGGTCCTCTTCATCATATAGAGAGACCGCTTCTGACCCATAGCCATTCCAGGAATGGCTTTGTTTTAAAGGCCCACAAACTGGCACCATGGTCCCATAGTCACCAGCGAATTGAATTTCAAAGCTCTTCTGGACCATGTACAGAACAAACCACAGGATCTTATACATAGGAGGTTTGCTATCAATATCTGGACAGAACCCTGCCAACAGAAGCTCGGGGCCAGGGCTGGTGAGTTAGCTTCTGTTTGACCCCAGGAACCCACGGTGGAAGGAAAGAAGGACAATTTGCAAAGTTGTCTTCGACCTCCACACACTCACTGGGGCCCACGCATGCGCACACACACACACACACACACACACACGAAAACTCTGTGGGTCAGTTTTCTACTGTCCACTCAAAACTCATGTAAAGATAATCTTAATGAAATCCTTTGACTTCTAGAAAAGACTGTCCCATAGCCAAATCCTTGCCCCAGAATACCTGAAGTGTAAACAGGACCCTCTCCTTCCTGAATGCCAGCACGGCTCTGGAAATACTTTGTAAGGAGGACTGGGTAAGAGGATGCATTGTGACGATCTGTTTCTTTCTTTTCTTTCTTTCTTTCTTTCTTTCTTTCTTTCTTTCTTTCTTTCTTTCTTTCTTTCTTTCTTTCTTTCTTTCTTT